CTTTCAGCCGTGGGGGCATTATAATGTGACGGTCAATCCCACTATTCATTGGTAAAAGAATAGTTCAAGAGTTGGTGGTGATGACTAGCTGCCTTCCCTCTAGTCTTACACTGCTAAATTAGGGACGGCTAGCGCAGATAGCCCTCGTGTAGCTTTGCGCGTAAATTTCAAAAAAACAAACAAACAAACAAACCACTCAGTGTACATATATGTGTGTGTGTGTGTTATTTAATATTAATAGTTTTCTTCCCATTTCTTGTTAAAGTATTTAAGAATTTGCTTAAAAGAATTATCAATTCTGTTGATATTTTACGTAGAATCAATTCCCGAGTTTATAAAAAAATAAATTTGCTGTTATTTTGGTAATGTATAATACTTTCGCCACCTGTAGGCTGTTATATGAACTGAACAGGTTTGTATTAAACGGAAAAATTCCTTTCAGTCAGCTTTACACGAATTATCTTTTCAAAATTTTTTTTTTGTGAAAAGTAATATATTCTTGGATAATTTTTATTTGACAAACACGTTTTGTAACCGCTTTAACAGTAAAAATAATTTAATGAGATTTGTTCTTAATTCAAAAAATTGCTTTTATCATTTTTTTATTATTAAATACCTAATTTTTTAAGTAAACGAAATCCGTTAAGATTTTCTCCCTATGTGGCTCAGCAGTAAGTCTGTAGGCTGATAACGCTAAAAATCGGGCTTCATTACCTGTGGTGGGCACAAAGATAGCTCATTGTGTAGCTTTGCGCATAATAACAAACAAACCGTTAAAATTAGCTGTATTTAGAGAACAGACTCAAACACGCTGCGATTCACAGTCTTTTTCTTTATCATAATTATTATGGATTGGAAAGTTTTATTTTGCTCATTTTTTACAGTACAAATCGTAGGTAAAATAAAATCTACTTAAAAGTGCTGTTCTCGACGAGTCGTTGTTTCTTCTATCTTACTTTGACTAGACAGTACTTTTGTGGAAAACTTAATAATTTACCAGAAGCATTGATTAATTATATCAATAAGTTTACGGATTTAGGGCGCTAAAATTCGGGATTAGATTTCCTGCGGTTGATAGATAAAATGTGGATAGCCTGTTGTGTAGCTCTGCTCAAAAAACCCTATAATAAATTTTTTCAGCTCCGAGTTCTTTATCAAGCACAAACTTTTAACTTAAAGCTCCGTCATATAATTCCAGTTTTGGATTCAGGAGATCAAAACCTTTCGACTGATGTATTTGATCACGCCCAAGGTTTGATAGATTAATTTACTCTAATTCTGCCTAAAGGAATTTCAAGTGCCGCGGCTATTGAGGATTCCCTCTTGTTTTATCTCAACTTTCGCACAGAAAGTTTATGTTCTCTGCGTGAACATGTACTGCTGCTACTATAGGTTGTTTTTGATATGATTGAATAACGTTGATAGTTTCTTTTAATTTTAGGTTTAATGTGAAAGTCTCCCAAACCTGAACATTCCTCAAACTGAAAATTACGTCAATTAGACCAAACATTTTAGTTAACACTTTCGTCGTATAAACTCTAGAATCAGAGTCGAGCGTTACTCAATGGTTATCTTACTGGGCTCTGGTTGTTCTGGTCCTATATTCGCGTCCCTTTACTGCCGGCCCGGCATGGCCAGGTGGTTAGGGCGCTCGACTCGCAATCTGCGGGTTCGTAT